GAGAACTTGCACAATTGGTAGCTGACTAAATACTTTTTTGCCCCACTGTAACTAATTCACGTTATGACTATTCATAGCCAAGCTTGTCTTCTTCCATTACACAGGAATGGGATTGTAGGAGCCACGTTAACCATGTTAGCCCATGATGGCTAAATATCAGAAGGGGTATGGTAGCACCCTTTCCGATTAACACATCTTATTAAAAGGCAGTGAGCATGAAACTGAGCACACTCAGGGAGGCAGTGAAGGACAGGAACGCCTGGCGCGATATGGTTCATGGGGTCACAAAGAGTCGGACACGACTTAACGACTGAACAACAACATTAAAAGGCAGAAGCTTTTGTGAGATGTAGCTCACTTTATCAGATGTATTGTAGGAGGAGAGCTGTGTTAATCTGTGGTGACAAAAAAACCCAGAAGCTCTAGTAGCATCTTTTCCAACTAACAAAGCTTATGCCTTTAACCTGTCTGGAGGGTGAGTCATGGCATTCATCAGTCCCCAGAAAGATTAAGACCACTTCACAAGTTCACCAGGGAGGCAGCACTTAAGGACCCACTTGGGGATGAATGAGGGATTAAGAGTAAGACATCCACATCCCAAAGGCTCCACTAATCACATCTCCTATTGTCCCTTCAAGGAGCCCATCATGTTAGTGAGAAACGCAGCCACCCTGGAAGACATTTATGGGGTCCCCCCAACCAACTTTCTAGACTGAAGAAGCTGCTTGGACAAGAAGCGAAACATATCTAACCAAAAGAAAAGAAGTCCAGTTGCCATGACTCAACCTCCAGATAATTCCACCTGGATGACTGAGAATCTTCATCAACATATGCCTTTAACCTGGTTTTCATCAGATTCACAGAGTGGCTAGACTGAGGTAGGATTTAAAGTAGGATGAGGAGGGAGGGGGAGGTAGGGAGACAAAAGAAGGTTATGCAGATGCAGATTACATGTTGGACAGATTACCAGTACCTTATCAATTAACAACTGTAATGAGTTAAAAACCCATTGTGTTTGTTGAGACCTGAGACTGCTGAAATGTTTTGATGTATGTGAGTTTTACAACCTTTCACTCAATGGAGAAGTTAAGGCCCAGTTTTCCAAAACAGTGGAAATATGGGAAATATTACTGTAACTGTAATGTAGTGTCAATGGGAAATATTATTGTAATTGCCCAAAGAAATCCTAGCACAACATTAGTGCACAGGAAAGAACAATTGCTCCCTGCAGAAAACAGAATAATAAATTATACCTGTTTTAGAATCTTTTACATGTAACATTGCTTCTCTGGTATTCACTTCCAGGTCTTGAAATTTATAGTGGATCCTTCCCCCCCTTTCCATCACCGTATAGCCAGAAGGTCCAACAGAAAAGCCATCTTGAGGAGAAAACAAAAATACAGCATTGGCAGTCTCAGAGAGAATGAAAGCAAGGAGTTACAAAGCTAAAGTTGTAAATCAATGCATTCAAAATCGGTGTACTGGTTCATTAAACATGAAAGCATTTTATAATTTGTTTGATTTGGATGCTAAACTTTATAGTCAGTTCTGAACTTTAGTTTCTTTTACATTTTGCTCAATTTTCTTGCATATCACAGTTGAAGAATCTCAAGGCTGACTCAGTTGATGCTCTGTTTCAGCTGCATCTTTCCTGAAGCTGATGTGACTGACATGATATGGCTGGGATCAGCCAAGAATGTTTTTGGGTGCAACTGTGGTCCTAACTCAGCCATCCAGCACCTTTACAAAAAGAGGAAAATGCTGGAAAGTTCACCCAGATACAGGCGCCCTGATAGGTGTGCCAGCTGGAGTGCCAGTGAATGGCTGCAGTTTAGCCATTCAACGCTTGTCCAAGGGAAGAAGGGAACTAGGGCTGAAGCACCCTGTGCAACATAGAGAGCATGAACTTTCCATTTTAGCCTGCATGGCATCCTTCTCTCTGCCACCTTGGCTCTTCATACGTAGATGAAATTGGAGGTGGGGTTTGTGTAGGAGGTGGGGCATCCTCCCTTAAACCATCTCTCTGATGTCATGTAGCTAACCTGGACAGGGGGGGGCTAGATCTGACTCTGAACTAGATCTGGTTCCTCATCCTGCTGTGCATCTATCACTAATGATTAGTTGCAACACTACTGGCCATTTCCCAGTAGTGATTGACTGCATTACCCAGCCATTGCTGAAATGATATGAAACTGTGCTCCTTGCTGTAATTTTGGCAGAATTATGGCTGGAGGGCCATAAGATGCTAGGATTCATTAGCGGGGGACTAACTAAATCATTGACTGAAGCATGGTGAACATCCCGGGACACAGTATTCTAATATAAAAAGCCACAACAGAGATGGTTCTACTCAAAGGTTCCCTCAGATTTGCTAGATCCCAATCACAGTATAGCTTCCAAGGTCCCTATGTCTTTGTTAGGTTTACTCCAAGAAGAGTCAGGAGGCATGAAGTCTTTCTGTCATTTTCTTTCTTGCCAGCTAGGACCCGTGATTTCTCCTTTAGCACCAAGTCTGGCACAGCACTGCTCTTTTATCATGCATATATATAGCTTATCTTTCAAGGTTGTTCTAAATTGGCTTAAAGTACATTTGTTATGAATAAGCATCAGTCCCCATTGATTTTCTTTGGTTTAGCTAGCCCAGGTAGATGGGAAGTCCAGGCTGGGGCAGAACCAGCACATGTGATTTTACATGTAATCACCTGTACTTTAGATATTTCCACATACTCTGGAGATTAGGGAGTTTTAAGAATAGCTATTGCACAATCAACCTGCTTACATTTCAGTGGCTTTTCTCCAGTTCTTACGTGGCTGTTGCTGACTTCTGGCACACTGAAAGAATCACTCTTTCCAGAATAACCCTTTAAGGTGGAGATGATAGAACAGCAGCAGATTAAAAACTATGAACAGATCATGCTTTTCTCCACTGAGTTGATTTCTGAATTTTAAAAAATGACATTTGCTATTAAGTAACACTCTACAGTTCTAAGAGCTGAGAATAGGAAGCTACAATATACCATCAGCCTGATTCTAACTAGTCCCTGTTTTATCTGCTATCACATTTCTCCCTTTTTACTAAACCATAAGTCTGTTAAAACAAGCTAAAATACTATGAAAAGATTACAGAAACAGATTAGCATTACTGGGTCTAACTGCACAATTAGAATCATCCTTTTCAGATAACAAGTTAACACTATCCCAAATATAAACTATTCCCAGGACAAACATTTAATCAGTGTATAAAACATTCCAGATAGATTAATTCAGGTAAAATTCCCAGAGTCTGAAATCTCTATATATTGTTTTTAATAATTTTTTTTTAGAGCTTTCTATCACTTGTTATTGAAGAAACTCACAGTGACTTGACATCCTTCATTTTAATGTTCTTTCTAGCATGGGTTCACTAACATTATAGCATCAGATACCAGTCCCTCTCTTGTAAGAAATCCTTCCCGAATTTAATTCTGCTCATAGGATCAAATGCATTTCTTTGGAGATTGTATGAATTTGATTTACTAGCATCTGTTCAAAATGTTTAGTTTTTTTTTACTTTACATACTTTTTTTAGTATGTTGTTTCACTAGAAAATATATTCAGTGCAAGCACCAAAATAAAAACACAACCATTTATATACAAAACACAAATATGTCATAAACAAATTATTTTTTCTATAATAGTTTACTATCCATCATTAAATGTAAATCTGAATAACCCCATGTCCAATGATGTTGGTACATATAGTACAAGTCTGATCATACACCATCAGGTTGGGGTCAACTCTTAGTGACCACATAGGTAGACCTTTTCCAGGACGATAATACAAGTTTAGAGTGTGCTATATTTAATCAGTAATTAAATACAACAACCTTTCCCAGAACATGTGGCCCTTGACAGTCCCATCTTACATCAGACCCCAGTAACATGGCTGGGGATGCTCTCAGGAATGCTAGTAGCTTTGGATCAATACCCCTAAGAGAACCCATGACCTATCTTACAGCTAATCTTTAAGACAGGTCAATCAAAAGCAGAGATAAAATCTATAACTTCATAGTTCATGCCTGTTAATCTGTTAGGAAACACATATCACCAATGGTTTGGGCATCTGCAGCTCTGGCTGGATTTGTCAAAATGAAAAAAAAAAGCAGCTTCACGTCATTGTGCCCTAACTGCTTATTAACATAAATGTGTGTCCTTTATGGTTCACCTTTGCTGTAACAACCCAAATTATTACAAACAGTTCTACTGCACAGAGTATGGCCAGATATTATCAAGTATAGCTAATGGCCTACAGGCAGGTCCATCACATGTTCCATATATTATAAGATAGTTTATACTGTATGCTTTGCATTTTTCATGCTGTAAGCCTAACTTTTTTTTCTTGTTTTCTTCCTTGCTTAGCAAGTATTATAAGCAAATACACAATATTGATTGAACTGACGTTTGCTAAAAATAGCCAAAGAACATTACTTGCTGAAACTCCAAGACTGTTCAAGCTCTGAGAGAAACGTGTTTTCCTCATTCTATGTAAGGAAATGTAAAATATACAAAAGACTGATAATTTGTGGCATTTAAGTGCTATTTATGGTGAACTGACTAATGGCACAGCTGCCTCAAAGGTGCTTGAGAGAAGATCAACATTTTTGTAAACAAGCACAGGCATAAAAACATACTAGTTTGGAGAAGTCACTTTGTCCAAATGTTCCTCTTCCAGAAAAGAGTTGTCCTCTGGCTTTAACACGAGCCCGTCCAGTCATTATTCCAGGTTTGACTCCCTGTAATAAAGAAAACTATATAGTTCCCAATTAACTCTAATTCTAGAAGGATAAATTCTGGTGGATGAAATGGAAGCACAAGAGATCAGGGGTAGCAAAAGCTTCAAGACTTGTCTTCTTCCCATATGAAACTATCCATTCACAACCAAGATGCTCTGAAGAACCCCTGCCTCTTGCTTCCCAGCTATCTGAAATGGGAATCATAGAGAAGACAGGCTTATTTTGGTCGTAGCTTTGACATTCTACATTCTGCATCAAGAAGGCTCTATTATGCTGGATCTTATAGAAAGTTTTTTTAAAAAACCTGACAGCAGCTGCAACATGGTGAGAAGCTAGTCATGGATGCCCACCTATGTTTTAGAGCAATTGTATCATTCTTAAGCTTTGATTTATTGCCTTTTCATCCTGCTCTTCAGCCATCAGTAGGCACCTGGCAAAAATGGTATTTCAACTGTGCTGAAAGACTGATCCTGTTTTCCAACATTCTTTGCTGTAGCTTTACGCAGAGGGTCAGGGTAATATAGCAGAGTTGGACCAGGAGCAGGATCCACACACAGCCCATAGCTCATTAGCAACTTTGGGCCAGTAAGCCCATCCCACCTCATAGAGGTTGTGGGGTGAGGAAAAATAGAAGGGAGTACTATGCATAGTACCTTAAACTTCTATACAAAGGTGGAATATAAATCTAATAAATTCTTGGGTCAAAACTGTGAAACATCAAATGTTCAGTATGAAATAAAGTAGAAGGAAGATGTCTAAGAAAGGTATTTCCCTGCTCATCTATTTCTCCACCCACAGTTGCATGTAGCACATACTGTATTATTTATTATTATTGTTGGAATTATGTTCTGTGTATTCTTTGGCAGCTGAAGACATTTACATCTTCCTTTACGTTATTCTCACAATAAAACCTCTGTGCAATAAGATGGATGGAGAGAAGATGACTTTCCACAGATCACCTAGAGTTTTTATGCTGAGACTTTAATCCAGTGTTTCTCAACCTTGGCAACTTTAAAGATGTGTGGATGTCAACTCCCAGAATTCCACAGCCAGCATGCTGGCTGGGGAATTTTGGGAGTTGACCTCCAGATATATTAAAGTTGCCAAGGTTGAGAAACACTGCCTTAACCACTACACCATACCAGTTCTCACAGAAACAGGATTCACTTCTTGACTTCAACTATCAAATTGGGAAAAATAGTAGATGCCTCTTATTTATTTCAAACATAAAACAAAGCAGTGTGAATTACCGTAAATCATCTCTACATCTACTGGCTGACTACCATACCAGTGGTATGTCATTATGTTGCCTGAATATAGCCCTTAAACTGCCAGTCATTCTTTCCCTCAAAAATATAAATTCACCAAATACAGACTGTGACACATTAAGCAGTCCCTCAACTGGCAGCTCCTGCCAGCATAGCTAATAATTGAGAATTTCAGCAACATCGCAAGGGCCACAGATTCTTTGTCTTTGCTCAAACCATGAATTTGAGAGTTGCTTCATATAAAAAGACTAAGCCTACTTTAAATACATTCTCAATTACTTAATCTGGAGTAGAAATGCAAAACAGCCAATGTGGCGTGGTAAAGATCAAATTAGGTCTTCTGGAGAGCCTTGGATTTGAATTCTTACTCAACCCTATGCTAGCCATTTCCACCCCAAGCTTCTTCATAGGATCATGAAGATAAAACGGGGCTGGTCAATTGGGAAGATCAAGATTTGACCCCCCCAGAAGCTCCTGGAACAGTGGGCAATATATGTAATATAAATTTGCAAAATAATCTATATATCAATGGTTTTTATTTCTAAATTAAGGCAGGGTATGCAGCTGAGATGATTAAAAAAATGTATTTCCCTGAAAATAGCATCATAAACGGGGGGGGTACACCATCGCAGATTTTGGAGGGAGGGGGGCAGAATCAATCTCTGAAAGAGAGACCTCTTCTGCCTTTGGGGCTGGAAACACCAACGCATCACAGTACAGTACACCTCTACTTGGCATTATTTATTTTTATTTATTTATTAAATTTATACGCTGCCCACCTCCCCCAGAGGGTGACTCTGGTCGGCTCACCATTAAAATCAAGCATCAAAAACAGTAAATATATCCACATTAAATTAGCTTAAAAAATCATACTGTATAAAAAGACTCTATACAACTTTATGCTGGTCTATGACCGAAATAAAATTGATTGATTGATTGACTATATATAACTTATAACATCCACGAGCAGCGTTCGCACGACACGCTTAACCGGGTCAGGTCAAGCCCTGGCCCCACCTTACACGCTTCCTTGCGGGGACCTGATAGGGCTCGCTCTAAGGGAAGCCAAGGAAGGACGCAGCCCGGTATCAAACGGTAGAGAGGCGCCCAGCTACGCCGCCCCGCTGCGACCACCGCCGCGACGCCTCCACCTCCGGACTCGCGCCACGTGCACCTGCGGCGAGGCGCGCGGCCCCCAAGAAGCCACGCCCACTTAACGAAGGCCACGTCTTCCTCCGGTGCTTTCTGGAACCGGGCGCCGGCGTTCAGCCGCCAGAGCGTCCCTTCTTCGCCTGAAAGGCGCATGCGCCGGAAGTCTTCTCCTGCCTGCCTCTAATTATTTCTTATCCGTATCTGCAGGAAGGGGAGAGTGGGTACCTAGGGCGAAGGAGGCGTAGTGTGGGTTAGTTAATAGAAGGGATATTAATAGATATTAATAGAAATAGTCTCTGTTTACATGGTTTACTCGTGGTTTGTTGGGAAAAAAACCCACATTTGATAGTTTGCACAACATGCTAAACTTTAAACCCTGGGTTTTTAAAAAAAAAAATTTATTTATTTATTTATTTATTTATTTATTT